CAGTTAGGGAGCCATTTTAGGGTTGGCAAGAGACTTGGCTCTAGAGGGGATCCCAGGTGTCCACGGGATGTCGCCAGCTAGGTCCTTGGACAACAGAGGAGAGGGTGCCTGAACTGGCCTTGCCCCACTATCACGCTGATGATTATCTCGAATATCACCATAGAATCTTCGTCCAGCGACAGATGGAGATAGAGACAGAGACCTCAACAGAGCAATGGACTGAGCCCCCAAGGTCCAGTTGAAAGGCAGAAGGAGGGAGAAGATGAGCTAGGAAGTCAGGACCGCGAGGGGTTGGTCCACCAACTGAGGCAGTGTGCCTGTTCTAATGGGAGCTCACCAAATCCAGCTGGACCAGGTCTGAATGAGCATGTGATCAAACCGGACTCTGATTGTGGCTGACAATGAGGGCTGACTGAGAAGCCACTGATAAAGGCACTGGGACTTGTTTTTATGGCATGTTCTGGCTTTTTGGGACCCTAGCCTATATGGATGCACAGCACCCTAGACCTGCATGTAGGGGGGAGGGCCTTGGACTTCCCACTGGGCAGGATTCCTGGCCCTCTCTCAAGCAGAGCAGGAGAGGGAGGGGGGGGTGTGGGGGAGTGGGAGGGGACTGGGAGGAGGGAAGGAAGTGTAAATAATTGAATGGGAAAATAAAAACTTTTAAAAAATTAAAAAAAAAGATTTGTTAGTCCATATTGGTGGATCAAATAGTCACAATTCTCTAGGAAGACAGAGGGGTTCCAGTACAGACTTGGAGTCATGGGGGTTCAACCAACATGAAATGTCAACTGATCCATCTCTATTTGCAAATAAGCTTTCTGTCCTAAAGAACTCTGCTTTGATTCTACAATAGCCAAGGAAGTGTGCAAGTGTTCATGCATGTGAACAAGTGTACAGATTTGCTCTCTAGTCAAGTCTAAATCAAATACTTTTCCTTTTCTTATTTATTCTTTCAGCAAGTAATGAGAACATATTATGCATACCAGGGATTAAGCCCTGTTTACTAGTCAAAATTGTCATTACTCAAGCAGGAGTCCTTCAGGCAGTAACTACCCTTCATGAAAGTAAATTATATCAAGGTAAAACAAATCATTCTACAATTAGAGAAAATATCCACGTCAGCCAGTTTTAAATGGCTGTTTTAGTTTTATAAACACAATGAGAGACGGGTGGAGAAATGCAAAGTTTAAGTATGCAACAGTGATTTTTTGTATTGGTTTTCTACATTTCTCCCAGCTTTCAAAGCCACCCTTCCATTTAATACATTTATTGCAAGAGATAATGCTCTTTATTATTCTCTACACATAAATGTATGAGAATGAACTTCCAAGGTGCATGGCTCTCAGAAATGGTTTTCTGTATCTTTCCCGGGAAGTGTAGAATTTGACACCTGTTGTGGGTGTTATTTCAGTGGCACTCATGTTATTACGGAGCTACAAAAAAAAAAATAAAATTAAAATACAATTAGATTTTCACACACTCAAATGCTGCCATTAGAATCTGTTTGTGAACTAGGCAGTGGTGGTACGTGCCTTTAAATCCAGCACTCGGGAGGCAGAAGCAGGCAGATCTCTGAGTTTGAGTTCAGTCTGGTCTATAGAACCAGCTGTGCTACACAGAGAAACCTTGTCTCAAAAAAGAAAATCTGTTTGTGAACCAAGAAATAAATGTTGGCTTCGACCCCAGGGCTTTCCCGTGAGCTCCCTGGAAACTGCTGGAAGATGAGGTAAGGGAAATAGTTCAGAAAACTTTGAAATTGAAACAAATGACATTTCAGCCCTGTTAGTCAGGGGAGAACTTGCTATTTTTGCAGACAAACCTGCTTTTCCCTTGAAATCATTTTGGAGATAATCTTATTTTTCCTTGCCACTTAAAGAAATGTACTTGTCATTAAAAAAAGAACGAAAACATTCTAAACCTCAGCCCCCAGATGTCTCAATGCATAGACAGTGTCATTACCTTTCCTGCGGTCCCTCATATTGCCTTCAACTTTCACAGTATCGAAAATTCTCTTTGTGGACCTTTTTTTCTAGACTTTTCCCTCACTGAGCAACAGTTGCCACCATTTTAAAATAGCCCAAACTTGTTAATTGGATAAAGAATGAGATAATGGCAAGGATTTTTTTTTAATTGTCCTGGTTATGTTCCTAATTCGAGAAACAGATGTCTCCACACCTTTCTACATCTTCGTGTTTAGTTATTTAAGTCAGAAGTTTTCAACTTCTTCCATAATTGAACACGGGATAGCATGGATCTTAACTGTAATTAACAGGAAATGAAATACGGTGGGCAAAGGAGGAGGCCATCTCTTTATTGGTTCCTGGTGGTTGGTTCCTATCTCTATTTCAAGGGTCAAAAGCCATCCTTTAAAAAGTCCTTATACAGAGACCATTTATTGAAGGCAGAACGCTTTTTATTATCCCCTGCACCTAAAAATATCAAAATGCCCTAAAGCACTAAATGAAAAAGGAAAAATAATTCTAATTTAGATGGTTAAACTACTTTCATTCTGGACAGCTCATGCACCTCAAAACACCATAAAAATGCCATTGATCAAGTCAGTGATGGTGGCACATGCCTGTGCTTCCAGCACTTGAGAGGTAGAAGCAGGAGAATCAAGAGCTAAATAAAGTTCAACCTTGGCTACATAGTGAGTTTGAGATCAACCTAGACTACATGAAACCCTGTCTCCAAAGGCTAGGCAGCCAACCAACCAACAAAACAAGTCCAAGCCACTTATCAAATCTCTACATCAGGAAAAAGAAAACGTACCAAATTTACTAAAAATTTCGATGTTGTAGTACCCGGGTTGCATATTTTAACTATTTTAGTTTTGAAAAGTGCATCATTAATAGTAAGAAAAATAGGCCTCTGGTTGTATTTATCACTGAGTGGTATTTCATAATCTTCCATTATGGAAGATTCACATTTTCCATAACTAAAATTTGAAAGCCAAGATGTATAGAATGACTGTCTGTGTTTGATGTTGTACGAAAACCTCAATGTGAGTAAAACGTGGAGCTTCTAAGGTATCTATGTAACTACTGTCTAGTTCCTCTCCAGTCACACTGCTGCCACTGAGTCTTCTTCAACTAAAATCAAAGGAATGACTTGATGGCGTGATAGCTTCAGATACACTAAAAATTATCCTTGGTTGTAACAGTTGTTCAAATCCTTTCATCTTTTCAGGAAAACCTGCCGTCAATTAATGACTATGCAAGGCCTTTTTTGCTGATGCTTTACTCACCACACTACCTTTGGCAAGAACATTCTTTTAAGATAGTGTGGGGCTACCTATTCATCCAGCTTTGAAATCCAAAGTAAACCGCAGGAACATACCTGCTATCTTGGAGCTTTGGAGGAAGACACACAGGGAGGATCCTTGGGACCACTAGGCTGCCAGTCTAGCCAATTGGCGAGTTCCAGGTTCAGTGGGATACCCTGTCTCAAAAAACTCAAGTGACGAAATCATTAAAGAAGACAAATGATGTTAACCTCTGATCTCTCTGCATATGCTCACACACACGTGCACCCCCTGCACACTAACATGCACACAGATAGGCATGCACACAAAGAGAGAATTCAAAGGTTTCATGCCTACCATCATTATATATCAGAATAGTGATGAAATCATTTGGGATGAAGAGTCAGGCACATTATCTACACATCATTAAGAGTTGCTGGAGTGACAAAGGGAAGGGTTGGACGTAGATAAATATCGAGCTATTTTGGCAATCATTGTATACTATAGTCTGTTTTGATGAACACCACTACCCATTGCTGCTTCTTATCTTTCAAGATAAGTTTAGATGTGTGTGTATAGGCAAGATTTGAGACGCCTTCTAGTGAATTATCGACTGCCTTTGAGTAGTTTGTTTCTTTCATCACCAGCACTTTGAAGCTCGAAGAAGAAAGGAGGGTGCTGTGCCAGAGAATGCTTTTTCTTCCAGGGCATGAGCACTGGATCATCTCTACAAAGGAGGCTGGACCAACTCTCATAAATGAGGTACAAGGAAGAACTACTATGGGATCTCTTTCCTTCCTTCTTTCTTCCCCCTCCTCTCTTCTTTGTTAGGGTCTCACAGAAAAGAAGGGAAGTGTGGCATAATATATTACATGCTAATAATTATTCCTTGAGGTCTTACAGCCATGTCATTAGTGGATGAATTATGCTTCTCTGTCATACTTGCTTTGAGGTTAGCCACATAAATTCAGAGCTGAGATTCTACAGTGAAGATGTCTGTCAAGCCCCTCTATATTCTTGTCATTTACTATGAGAAGAACATGCCTTGGTAGCTGCTGACTCTAACATGAGACAGAAGTCCCACATGCCTCAATATGATGTGAACAAAACCTATGGCAGAGAAGTCATAGACAATTCATAAACTTATGAGTAATAAAATTAATATTTGGGAAAGCCACTAAGATTTAGGGGATTTCTTGTTATGCAGCAGCTTCATAACATTAGCTGACTAATACATGAAGGTTCACTTTTTGCCAATACCATTTATACTAGTTCCCTTATGCTACAATATTTGATTCTGTAAAGGATCTTAATATTGTTATTTTTTTCCACGAAGCATCATCTCTGCGAGGGCAAAAACCACAGTTAGTAAGTGGCTGGGCCAAAAAAATCAAATTTATAGATGTTCATGTTCACATATGGCAATTATTCCATGTCTTTTGCCTAACTTTCTGCACTTTACGTTCAAGATTACAACAGCAACAACCCCATATAAAAACAACCTCACTATTTTCTGGAGGCATTTACTGTCCAGTTACTCATTGGGGCACTTAGTCCTATTTAGTTCTACTCTAGATTGAGTCATAGCCTGCCCATGAGATTTGCAATGGTAAAGTCCTCATTTTGAAAAGTATTGTACTTAGAAACCACAGAAAACCTTAAAATAGTCTGTAATGATTTGTGGTTATAGGTATAAGAGAAAATGTACCAGATAAACATAAGTTGAGTCGGCATTGTAAGGCTCTTCGCTGAGATGGCTGACAGAGGAGTTGACCAGAGACTGAATAAGGAACTAAACTTCTCTGTCTGTGAAGACGATTTTGAGAATGGAGGTCAGATGACAACACAGGGCACCGGAGAGGCCCAGAGCCCAGCGTCTGAGAGGGATGAGGATGAGGAGATGGAGGATCCCAAGTCTCCCCCCAGAGATGAACGTTATCCTTCTCAGAACAGAGACACAGAAAGCCCAGGTCCCGTTCTTTGGGTTCCAGTTTCAATCCTTCCCAAATGTCCAGAGACACCAAGACCATCCAGGAAGAGCAAGCTGCCAGTCACTGACAACCTCTCCCCGCCCAAAAATTCACTGAATCCGCCTGAGATGATTTCAAAAGGAAAACTCTCTACCCAAAGCGCTAAACATCTGAGACTCACACCTTCTCTCTTCATGGATGAGACCTCTCTGTCTCTGGTTAATATCAACCCATTCACTCCAGAGTCCTATAGAAAAGTAGTCCTTCAATCAAATAACAAGAGGAAAACCAGAGGCTGCCAAGAGGAACCTGGAGAAGGGGGAAGCAAATCAGAACATGGGCTGCCTACTAAGAGAAGTATTCTACGAGAAACTAATATGACTTCCCGCTATGAAAAGGAATTTTTGGAGGTAGAAAAAATTGGGGTTGGGGAATTTGGTACAGTCTACAAGTGCATTAAGAGGCTGGATGGATGCCTTTATGCAATAAAGCGTTCTTCGAAATCATTCTCAGGATTATCAAATGATTTGGATTTGCACGAAGTCTATGCTCAGGCAGTGCTTGACCATCACCCCCATGTGGTACGCTACTATTCTTCATGGACAGAAGACGGTCATGTGGTCATTCAGAATGAATACTGTAACGGTGGGAGCTTGCAAGCTGTGATAACTGAAAACATAGAGTGAGTTCCAGGACTACCAGGTCTATGTAGAAAAGATGAGATACAAGCCTTGGATTTACTGACATTTAATATTAAAACCCAGTTTCACTCAACAATCCACATCTAGCAATGGAGCATGTTTCCTCTTTGCGTCTTCTTGCACTGTGAACTTCTTGTCCAGTGACTGTGCTATCATCATTTCCTCTTTGCCCAATCCCTTTCTTCCATTGGCTTCTTTGCCGAATTCACATTTATGTTATGAAATCCAAATTTACGTCAGTTCCTCACAGAATGTTTGCCAAGAACTAAAACTGTAAAAGTCCAAGACATTTATAAGGTACCTCTTAAATTAGCATATAAAAGAACCACTGGCTTCACTAAGAAAAACAATAATTAAAAATTAAACTCTGCTTTTATACATAATTCTTACCTCCAAGTATTTTGGAGTACTAGCATTCTGGTTTAATTCACACATTCCAATTTGTAATAATTAGCTTTGATTTACATAACTAGACATCTGGCAGTGGAATTTGTCCCAGATAGAGAGCCTTGTGGCAGCTACCTGATTGTCTCCTTGGGTGGTGTGAGAAGCTCGATTTCTTTCATGGCATTGTGCTCCATTCCCACTTAATCAACAATATTGGTAGAAAACAATCTGAAGACAACTGAATAAAAGTAACATCTAACATTTACAAAATGCTTTCTATATGCCTAACACCATTCTCGATGCACATTTCATTTAATTCTTAAGTCAATGATTGCTTTCTCACTTTACAGTTTCAAAAGAGCCCTAAGGCCCAGAGCATTTAAGTGATGTGTTCAAGGTTAAATGTCTGTTACACAGTAAAGATGGAAATGAGCCCAAGTAGGTTAGTTCCATGCTGTGGGAACTCCTTCAGCCAATAGCCTTTAAGATACCAGCCCACTTGGGCATGGTCTCCTTTACTATAAATGCAGCCATAAAGCTTGCGAGTGCGCTCTTTTCCAGCTGCTGGAATCGGTTCCTGTTCCCCGCTCGTGCAGAGGACTGTGATCTGTGAGTCTACCCCTAAATAAATAACCCTTTATTATACTCAATTTTGAGCAAGTGTGGGATTTCTTTTTAACATCCATCTTCAGTTCCAGAATCTATAATTTCAGCCATAGAATATACCACATCCCTAAGTAGGGAGGGTACCTGTTCAGGTGAGATTTAGGAGATAATGTACAACTACCAACACTCTCATTATTGTTGATGAGAATGTAAATTAGTACAGTTAATATTGTTAGGCAATATCTAGTAAAGCTGAACATGTTTATTGGTGACCTAGTAATTCCTGGGCATCTATCCACCAAGAATGGATACAAATGTTGATGAAAAAATGTGAACTTGAAGGTTTATGGTAGCATTACTCATAAGAGCACCAAGCTGGAAATTACTCAAATGTTCATCCACAGGAAAATGAATAAATCAATCCTATTATATTTATACCACTATGTAGCAATGAGGATTATTATAACTATGAAGAGAAAAAGGGGTAGTTCTCAAACATAACACTGACTAAAAGAGGTGGAAAGAGGAGTGTTTAATGTAGTTCTTGATACTCACTTACAAGTAGAAGCTTTCCCCTGTGCTTCAATCAATCATGTCTGCCTATCTGTCATATATCAATATGACCAGTATGAAGTTATAAATCCTCATGTGTACCCAGTAGTGTATTATTTATTATTCTACTTCCTTATGTTGATGTTCAAATTGTCCCAGATTTGATCCACAGATGCCCTTTCAAAGTAGCAACTGACAGACCTCCTTAATTTTTCTTTTTGAGCACATCCTTGCTTTGCAATCTAACAAAATGCCTTTAGCTCATCTTGTGGAAATATTATTGGATACCAAAATTACAAAGTTGCATACATTAATTTTATTGGGGTGTCTTTGCTTATTGACTCCATTCCTAGAAAGAGTTAATATATGTGTGTGTATATACATATTTTATAGATAGATAGATAGATAGATAGATAGATAGATAGATAGATAGATA